ATTTCTTAATTTTTTGACTTTTCGATTTTTCGTCTTTCCGATTTCTCGATTTCTCAAATTTTCGATGTTTAAGTTTTGGGATTTTTCAATATGTATATTTCGATTTTTTAATTTTTAGATTTTGCGACTTCCTGTATTTTTGATTTTTTACTTATTCGATTTTTCAAATTTTTGATTTTTCGATTTGTTGTCTTGAATTCTCGATGTTTGAATTTTTAAATTTTTCGAATTTTTAAATGTTAGATTTTTCACAATTTTGTTTCGATTTCTCAATCTTTCGATTTTTTGCCTTCGCATTTTTCGATCTTCAGTTATTTCGATATCTCAATTTTTCGACTTTCGATCAATTAAAAAATCCGAGTAAACAAAAAATCGGAAAATTTCAAAATACTGAAGGATTGCAAAACTGATTTATAAATCGAAAAATCGTAGAAAAATTGAACCGATAAATTGGAAAATCTCAAAACTGAAACATCGACAAATGGAGAAATTGAAAACGTGAAAAATCTAGATCTCGAAAAATGGAAAATTTAAAAGAAAAAATTAAAAAATCAAAAATATGAAAAATCGAAAAAATGAAAAATTGAAAACCCGAAAATATGAATAATTGAAAAAAAAAAACTGAAACATTAAAATATTAAAAATCTAAAATTTGAAATTTTAAAAAATTGAAAAATATAAAAATTGAAAAATCGAAAAAATCGGGAAATCAAAAATTAAATTATAAAATTTCAAAAATCGAAGAATTGAAAAATCGAAAAATGAAGAATCGAAATATTAAAGCATCCCAAAAAAATTGAATCGATAAATTGGAAAATGTCAAAACTGAAACATCGAAAAATGAGGAAATTGAAAAAGTGAAAAATCGAGGAATTGAATATTGAAAAATCCCAAAACTAAAATATGAAATATTTGATAAATCGAAAAATCGAAGAAGAATTGAGGGACCGATAAATTGAAAAATAATCGGGAAATCGGGAAATCGACAAATCGAGGAATCAAAAAATATAAAATTAAAAAAATTGGAAGTTTGAAAAATCGAGACGTCGAAAAATTGAAAAATCAAAAATCGAAGAATAATTGCAGAATCGATGAATTAAAAAATCTTAAAACTGAAACATTGAAAAATGGAGAAATTGAAAACCTGAAAAATCTAGAAATCGAAAAATGGAAAATTTAAAAGAAAAAAATTGAAAAATCAAAAACCTGAAAAATCGAAAAAAAGAAAAATTGAAAACACGAAAATAATTGAAAAACTGAAACATTAAAAAATTAAAAATCCAAAATTTGAAATTTCAAAAAATTGAAAAAATATAAAAATTGAAAAATCGAGAAATCAAAAATTATAAAATTTAAAAAATCGTATATTTGAAAAATCGTAAAATTGATCGAAATATTAAAGCATCCCAAACCTGAAATATATTTCTTCGATATTTCAGTTTTGGGATTCTTAGCGATAAATCGAAATTTTGAGACATCGAAAACTCGAAAAATGGAATATTTGATAAATCGCAAAATCGAAGAAGAACTGAAGAATCGATATACTGAAAAATCCCAAAACTGAAACATCGAGAAATTGAGAAATCGACAAGGTGAAAAATCAAGAAATCACAAAAATCCAAGAACTGAAAAATCGATAAATGAATCGAAGTATTAAAGAATCACAAAACTGAAATATATATTTCTTCAACATTTCAAAAGTGATAAATAAATAAAGAAAAATTGAATCGATAAATTGGAAAATCTCAAAACTGGAAACATTGAATAATTGAGAAATTGAAATAGTGAAAAATCTAGAAATCGGAAAATATAAAATGTAAAAGGAAAAAATGAAAAATTTTAAATCCGAAACAGTGAAGAATTGAAAAACTGAAAAAACGGGAAATCGAGCTCCACTTCTTACTTTTTCAATTATTCGAGTTTCCAATTTTTCGGTTTTTAGCGTTTCTAAATTTTTGGATTTTTCAGATGTATTTCGACTTTTAAACTTTTTGATTTTTCGCATTTCTGTATAATTGATTTTTTTGTTAATTCGATTTTTCAAAATTTTGCGACTTTTTAAATTATGCATTTTTCGATTTTTCAAATTTTTGGTTTTTCGATTCGTTGTCTTGAATTCTCGATGTTTGAATTTTTAAATTTTTCGAAATTTTAAATTTTAGATTTTTCACAATTTTGTTTCGATTTCTCAATCTTTCGATTTTTTGCCTTCGCATTTTTCGATCTTTAGTTATTTCGATATCTCAATTTTTCGACTTTCGATCAATTAAAACATCTTAAAACTAAAACATCGGAAAATTAAAAATCCGAGTAAACAAAAAATCGGAAAATTTCAAAATACTGAAGGATTCCAAAACTGATTTATAAATCGAAAAATCGTAGAAAAATCGAACCGATAAATTGTAAAATCTCAAAACTGAAACATCGACAAATGGAGAAATTGAAAACGTAAAAAATCTAGAAATCGAAAAATTGAAAATTTAAAAGAAAAAATTAAAAAATCGAAAATATGAAAAATCGAAAAAATAAAAAATTGAAAACCCGAAAATATGAATAATTGAAAAAAAACTGAAACATTAAAATATTAAAAATCTAAAATTTGAAATTTTAAAAAATTGAAAAAATATAAAAATTGAAAAACCGAAAAAATCGGGAAATCAAAAATTGAATTATAAAATTTCAAAAATCGAAAAATGAAGAATCGAAATATTAAAGCATCCCAAAAAAATTGAATCGATAAATTGGAAAATGTCAAAACTGAAACATCGAAAAATGAGGAAATTGAAAAAGTGAAAAATCGAGGAATTGAATATTGAAAAATCCCAAAACTAAAATATGAAATATTTGATAAATCGAAAAATTAAAAAAGAATTGAGGGACCGATAAATTGAAAAATAATCGGGAAATCGACAAATCGAGGAATCAAAAAATATGAAATTTAAAAAATCGGAAGTTTGAAAAACCGAAAAACTGAAAAATGAGGAAATAAAAAATCCAAGAATTGAAAAATCTAAAAATAAAGAAATTCAAAATTAGTTCTGGGATTCTTAGCTTTAAATCGAAAAACTGAGACGTCGAAAAATTGAAAAATCAAGAATCGAAGAAAAATTGCAGAATCGATGAATTAAAAAATCTTAAAACTGAAACATTGAAAAACGGAGAAATTGAAAACCTGAAAAATCGAAAAAAAGGAAAATTGAAAACACGAAAATAATTGAAAAACTGAAACATTAAAAAATTAAAAATCCAAAATTTGAAATTTCAAAAAATTGAAAAAATATAAAAATTGAAAAATCGAGAAATCAAAAATTATAAAATTTAAAAAATCGTATATTTGAAAAATCGTAAAAATGAAAAATCAAGAAATAAAAAAATCCAAGAATTGAAAAATCGAAAAATTAATCGAAATATTAAAGCATCCCAAACCTGAAATATATTTCTTCGATATTTCAGTTTTGGGATTCTTAGCGATAAATCGAAATTTTGAGACATCGAAAACTCGAAAAATGGAATATTTGATAAATCGCAAAATCAAAGAAGAATTGAAGAATCGATAAACTGAAAAATCCCAAAAATCCAAGAACTGAAAAATCGATAAATGAACCGAAATATTAAAGAATCACAAAACTGAAATATATATTTCTTCAACATTTCAAAAGTGATAAATAAATCGAAGAAAAATTGAATCGATAAATTGGAAAATCTCAAAACTGGAAACATTGAATAATAGAGAAATTGAAATAGTGAAAAATCTAGAAATCGGAAAATATAAAATGTAAAAGGAAAAAATGAAAAATTTTAAATCCGAAACAGTGAAGAATTGAAAAACTGAAAAAACGGGAAATCGAGCTCCACTTCTTACTTTTTCAATTATTCGAGTTTCCAATTTTTCGGTTTTTAGCGTTTCTAAATTTTTGGATTTTTCAGATGAATTTCGACTTTTAAACTTTTTGATTTTTCGCATTTCTGTATAATTGATTTTCAAAATTTTACGACTTTTTAAATCTTCCATTTTTCTATTTCTGAATTTTATGATTTTTCGACCCGTTGATCTTTTGATTTATCGATTTTGTAAATTTTCAATTTTTCGAATTTTTTAATTTTAGATTTTTCAGTTTTTTGTTGTTTCGATTTCTCAGTTTTCCGATTCTTCGTCCTCGATTTTTCAATTTTTGGCGCTTCTAAATTTTTGGATTTTTCGATTTCCCAAATTCTCAATTAATCGATTTTTTAATTTTCCGATTTTTCTATTTCTTTAAGTTTTGGGTTTTTTCAATTTTAGGATTTTTCAAAATTTCGATTTTTAAATTTATAGATTTTTCAACTTGGTTATTTGGATTATTTACTCACTCGATTTTGAGTTTTTAAATCTTACATATTTCAACATTTTCATCTATTCGGTATTTTAATTTTCGAATTTTTGGATTTTTTAAATTCTTGATTTTTCAATTTTTCGGTTTTGACAATATTTTGATTTCTCCTTCAAAAACGAAACATCACATATTTAAAAAAAGACGCTAGGAGCCCGCAAGTTTCTGTAAAATTCTTTTCCAAATAAAGAACTCCACGAATCCTCGAGAATATTTAAAAGTACTTTAAAAATAAAACAAAAGAGGCTTCGAAGATTTTTTTATATTAAAAAAAAACACTACGCGCCTGCAAGACAATGTTTTAAACGCAAAAAATTGGTCTAAAGTAATTTAGACAGATCTTTCCTCGCTTCTGAAGTAAAAATATATTATCAGTACATGCTTAACTTGAACTGTTTATGTTTATACATCAAAAGAATGCGACACTTAAGCACGCAGCAAAATTTTCATTTTATCATTATTAAATATAAATAGGTGGGCGCAACATTACTGTATTCTAAAATGTGGTATAAAATGTGATCCAAAAACGGCGAAAAATGGGAAATCCATTTTATTCTACCTGAGTGTTTAGGGAATTATGACAATCCGCAAAAACGAGGCGGAGCAGCTTGCGTACGATAGTACTCTTACCTGAAAATGCACCAACTTCGCCAGCATCGTATCCGCGATGAACACCTGATGCAAATAGCTGCAAACCAGCGACCTAACCTCCTGCAAGGCCCACTGCTGCCCCCCGACCCTCCTATCGTCCTCGGTTTCTATGCAAGTCTCGAGCAACATCTGCACCGCCGCACTCTCCTGCAATCAACGACACGACTTCTTATGCTTCAAAATATCGACAGGCGTCAAACACAAGTCTTTATCGCAACGATCGCAATGAAACGCCTTGGAATTGGGCTTAACCACCACCTTAACCTCCTCATCCTCGCCTCTGGCCACACTCGGGCGACAAAAATACTCGTGCTGGATAACCTTAAACGGGGAAACCCCCAACTTCGTCTGCTGGCAAAACTGACAAACGAAGGGAGTAGAAGCGACGCGCTCCTCTATATCGCAAGCCCACTCTTCCTGGAGCAAACAACCGTAAGTCAAGTTTTCCGTAACGTGAACACCACCGAGCTCGGGATTCGGCGAGATTTTGAACGATTCGTGGAAGGGGTTTTTCTCGTGCTCGGGGACTCCCCCGGGATTCTCGTTATAAATTTGCTTCAAATCAGCGGGTAGCAGTCTCTTGACGTTATAACTCACTTCGGTGTTCATAAAACTGACTAAATCGTCGATGAAGTAGAAGATTTCTTTCTTGTTGATGTCTTTGGAAGGGTCGTCGAGCTTCGACTCGAGCTCGCGCTTCCATTTGCTGCGGAGCTTAAGCGCCCGCATCACAAGCGCTTTACCTTGACCGTAGTACGGCACGTCGATCAAGAGAAAATCGTCAAAAACGAACTTGGTCAAAGTCGTGTTACACCCAATCGTTTTTCCAAAGAGCATCAAGGTTTGAAGCGCCGGCATTCGCATGGTGTTGACAAGGTAGACTTTTTTAGTTTCCAAAATCGCTTGGTACACCAGGACTTGGTGCTTCTTACTGATGGGTCGCTTGCTGAAGTACCCGCTCGGTGGTACCTCAATATCGTCATTGTGCAACTCGAGAATCTCGGGATTGGTAGCAAAGAAACTCATCGGTCGCAAAAACACGTAGTTTTTGTTTTTCGTGTGGTACAACCTTTCGGATACGGTTTTGGACGAGTTGAACTCGTCTTCGACGGCGATTTGAGGGTACAACCCACTGGTGAGTACCAGTTTTAGCATGATCAGGTCCTTGTAACTATCTGCAGACGTTTCGTTCAATAGCTTCTGCAACTTCTTGAAGTCGTTGGAAATGCGAAATTCGACGTCCCGCAAGTCCGCTTTGTCCTCCTCTTCTTTTTCTTCGCTGTATATCTCGTACTTTAACTGCTTCCGTTCTGCTTTTTTCTCGTTCTTTAGGTTATAGCGCAGAGATTTTAGTTGTTTTAACTCGCCGTGTCTAATGGCACGTTCGCCACTAGACAACTCCCCCATGGCCACCTTCGAGAGAAGGTTAGCTTCGTCTAGAATATCCTTGAACTGTTCTAACAATTTAGTCGCTTCGTAGAACCTCTGCTCTTCCAAACACCTCTTCCTAGCCCACACTTTCGACGACTCTCCTCTTTGTCTTGAATGCGTCGGTACAGAGCTCTGTTTTATCGATAACCACTCTTTAAAGTAGTTCAGAAGGGATATAGGGTCACCGTGATTGGAATCCAGGCTTTTTCTCAACTCCTGAGCTTCCGAGTTTCGGTACGCCGTTTGCGTGAGCGGACTCTGTATACTAAGAAGGGCCGCAAGCGCTAGTACCGCGTTCACGTTGCCGAAAACCGTGGACAGAACTAACATCTTCCCTATGGTGAGGTCAACCGGGAGCTGTCCCAACGCGTCTCCCAGCGGCGTCAAATTCAAACAGTCGCTTTTCAGCTCCAGCGCTCCCGTGAATTTGAGTTTCTCGATGGCTTCTTCAATGCTCTTCTCGCTGGGTTTTTCCAGGAACGGGAAGTGCTTCAAGTCGCTCAACCCTAGGGAGATCATGTGTAGAAGAAGGGACTCCAGAGGCACCAAGTGGATTTCAGCGGGAGTAAAAGGGTCGAAGTTTTTGAAGTCTTCTTCAGAGTAGAGTCTGTAGCAAATTCCAGGACCGGTACGACCAGCCCTTCCGGATCTTTGTTTAGCGCTGTCTTGCGATATATTGGTTTCGGAGAGTTTGTTGACACCCCCGTTGGTGTGGTAGGTCATACGATTGACTTTTCCTGAGTCTATGACAAAGCGAACGCCGTCTATAGTGACCGACGTTTCGGCTATATTTGTACTGATGATGCATTTGCGGACACCTTCGGGCGGATAATCGAAAACTTTGTCTTGTTCTTCGAGGGATAGACTGCTGTGGAGCTGTAGCACGATCCAGTTTTTCTTAAATTGGCTGTAGTCGGCTACTGCGTCTGCCAGAGTCGAAATTTCGCTGTAGCCGTTCAAGAAAATCAACAAATCGCCTTTCTGGTGAGGTTGATATTTCTCGTCCACCATTTGTATAATCTGGAGGTAGGGGGTACAATCGAGTTTCTCCCGTTTACGTTCATAGGGGTCCTTGATAATAGGTCTGAAGTTAATGTCAATAGGGTACAACCTCCCGGGTACTTTAATCACTTGAACATTTTCCCGTGAGAAGTAACTAGTGAAAAGTTCTAGGTTAATAGTGGCTGACATCAGTATCAACTTAAAATCTTTTCTCTTATAGAGCATACATTTCATGATCCCTACGAGAAAATCACAGTGGAGGTGTCTTTCGTGTACCTCATCCAAAATCACCACATCATAGGACCCCAAAGTCTCTTCTTCAGCTGCCTGTCGCAACAATAACCCCTCCGTCATAAAAATAATCTGGGTATCGGCACGCTTACTCTTCTCGAACCGGATTTGGTACCCTACGGTACTCTTATAGTCGGTTAGAGTCTCATGCGCCACCCTTTTAGCCAACGAAACACACGCAATCCTCCTGGGCTGAGTACACACAATCTTACTATACCCAGCCTCTAACACATACTGCGGCACTTGCGTACTTTTCCCACACCCCGTATCCCCCGCTATCAACATAACCCTACATTCCTTCAACCTCTCCACAATCTCCCTCTTATACTGAGCAATCGGCAACTCATTCTGAGCCCCGCGCAACTTCTTCAACTTCGCAAACTTACTCTTCTGCTGAAAATCCTGATACACTCGTACCGCAGTTAAAAAACCCCGGAAATCGTCTCTACTTATCCGAACTCTCTCCCCGTTCCGGTCAAGCACTGGAAGTCTGTCAAACAGAGTCTCAAAATCGTCACTAAACTGCACATTCAGGATTTTACTGCGGTCGGTGGCTTTAACCGACTGAATTGCTTGATACTTGTCGTGGAATTTCCAGAAATCGCGGGTGTTTTTCACGTTGGCTTGGTCTTCCAGAAATCGGGTCAGCTCCGAAGAGTAGTCCGAGATTTTTCGGGGTTTTGGCGGCGAGCGGGAGCGGCGGCGCTTCGGGGGCGGCTCCCCGTGCGAGTGTCTGCGGTATTTTCGGTACATTACAGCTCTTCAGACGCGAAAACCCAACAATAACATTTTCGAGGTTATGTGCAAATCAACTAGAAACGTCAAACTGGCGGTGTCTAAAGTTACGTTCGCCATAAAACATCGACATTTTTAACCATTATTGTTACTAATTCGAACTACAGACACCTTGAAACGTTAATCGCAACCTAATTTTTGTGTATTTAGTTGGTGATTAATTTTTTTTTGTGTATTTAATTATTTGAACTAATTTGAAGTGACGCTTGTTGTTCATCGGATGGCGTCACTTGGCATAATTGACGTATTTGGTTCATCGACTGTCATCGCTTACCATTTATAATTACAAGCAACAAACTCTTTATTTATTATTAATCACTCATATTTAGACTTTATTTAATTTACCTGTGCCGCTATCGTGGCCCTACACATTTCCTCTCTGTCGCTCTCATTTAAAACCTGTCCCGTGTGGTCCAACCTCGGATTTGCTTGTAAATGCTGCATCAATTGGCTCCTTGAAGACGCCAAACTGGCCCTCAGCACCCTCAATACCACCGCATACAAGGGTGCGCATCGGTACACCCTCTCGTCGCACCTCATTATCTGCAACAACCCTGTCACACATAACCTCACTAAAACCCTACTCACCTGAAGCGGATCCTCCGCCACATCAATCCTCGTCAAATTCGAAAAATCATCGACTAGATTCTTCACGGTTAACACCCACAACCTCCGGGGAAGTACCGTGTTGAACCTCAACCACACATCTTTGTACAAGTCCTGCAGATACCTTGGTACCGTATCCGCCAAAATATTCTTAGCAAACTGGGTAAAAATTTCCGCAAAAGGCCAGATATCAATGGCTTCTTGTTTCAACAGTTTCTGCATGAGTTTGGCACACTTTGATGGGTTGGTGTCGATTTCAGTGAACGCCTCGACTACCATGATCTCGCTAATGTGGATGGGTTTGTACTCGGTTTTGATTGACATGTCGTCGAGCCAATCCTCGACGAGAGTCAAATGGGGGAAGTGCGTGGCTAGAAGCTTCAACAAAGGCCCGAATAACCCCGAGTAGGAACTTTGGTCTTTTTGGGCGTGGTGTAGGAGGTACTTAATCGGTAGCTCGGACATGAATTCCGGGCTATAAATTTTGATTTTGCGGTTGAAGGAGGCGAGGATGTGGGCGTTGCTTAAGCGGCAGTCCTCGTATAGGAGGAGGTAGTAAAGTAGGAGGAGCTGCGGGGTGAGACTACTGTTGTCCACGACTACGTCTTGGTTTTCCGAGTTGAGGTCGAAGTCCATGTTGAATATTGATTGTTTTTGGTCGAAGTACTGTCCGAAGATCGAGCTTTGGAAAACTCGGCGGATTTCGTTCTCGGTTAGGGGTTTGTTGGTTTCGGTGTTTTTGGATGTTGGCATTATGACGCTGTTGACGTAGACTTCGACCAGCATGGGGAGGACTGGGTGAAGGGGGCTCACGCTGGTGCAGATTTGTTTGTAGATCCAGTTTTTGATGTTGACGTTGTGTTTGGCGAAAGCTCGGCTTTTTAGTAGTTGGTGGATGCAGTGGATGGGGAGGAAGCCCATCATGTTGGCGCTTAAGGAGTTGGTGACGGGGACTTTGACGGCGTGTGCTGTGACTACTTGCTCGGTGAAGATTTCTTGGGTGAAGACCTGGAACGGTTAAAGCGATTACTAAATGGTAAAAACCGTTTTTAAAATTATTGGTTCTTGAATTTCTTGAACTAAATTATTGTTGTGATATTTATTTTGGTTTAAAAATGCGATTTAAAAAATTGTATAGGTATAGATATTTTATTTAAGAACATTTTAACCAGTATTGAGTGCGCAATAAAGTCTGGGACACCCACTACACTACTTTTAAATTTTGTATTAACTGCTAATCTGCAAAATCAAACAATATATAAATCAACGTTTTTTTTAAGTTTTTAAAATATGAAGTTTTACTTAGACAATTGTATACATATATTTCCATGACGATTTCTTAACCATGTGATACAGCTGTTTGAAAATACAAAAAATTTGTCTAAAGTTATTCAGATAGAAGCTTTCCTCGTCTCTGACGCACATTTAAACTATTTTTAAGAAAATGTATAAAATTTTATTTTTATGACAATCCCTATAAATGAACACAGAGAGGTGTGGACCATTAATTTTAATAAAATTTTGGAATGATGTCATCAATTTTTTAGCAAAGCCGACAAAGAATACGACCAAAAAAAAGGGAATAAAAAAAGAACATAAAAACCACGTACAAAGGTCAGCAAAAAAAAAGAAACAAAAAAAAGACGATTAAAAAAAAGAGCAAAAAAAAACGCAACAAAAAAACTAGAAAAAAACAATCAAATAAGCGACAAAGAGGATGGGACAAAAGCAACAACAAAAAAAACGAGACAAGCCCGACTAAACAAAACCACAGAAAAAGACGAAAAAAAGGCGTCAGAAAACACCAATTAAAAAGCGACAAAAACAAAAAAAGGACAAAAAAGGGGCCAAAAACCATGAGAAAAAATCAAAGACAAAAAAGCGAGGGGGGGACGACAAAAAGAAGACTAAAAAGGATAAAAAAGGCCACAAAAAACACGGTAAAATGAAGCGAAAAAACGACAAAACTGAAAACAGAGACGACAGAAAAGCGTCGAAAAAAAGACGATTAAAAAAGGTTAAAAACTCGACAAGAAAATGGCGAGAAAAAAGAGCAACCGGGAGGGGGGCAAAATAACATAATAAAAGCAAAAAATAAGACAAAAAAAGACAAAAAACCGACAAAACAAAACGACAAAAAAGACGAAAAAAGGGCGACCAAACAGCAAAAACGGAAAAATAAACAGAAAAGATGACAAAACAGAACAAAAAAAAGCAGCAAAAAAAAACTAAAAAAGAGCCCAACAAACGCGATGAAAGGGACAAAAAACACAAAAAAGCGAAAATACCCACTAAAAGAGACAAAAAAGGTGACAAAAGGCGGCAAAGCGATACAAAAAGACAATGAAAGCCATAAAAAAGTAAAAAAGACAATAAAAGCGACAAAAATGGACAAAAAATCGATAACACAAGACGAGAAAAAAAGCAAACAACAAGAGAGGGTGGAAAGTGATCAAAAAAGACGATTAAAGAAAGGAGTAAAAAACCTGACTAAAGGAAACGACAAAAAGAACGACAATAAAACGGCGAAAAAAGTGATTAAACAAGCAATAATTCTAAAAAAAAAATTCTAATTCTAATTCAATAAAATGGGGCAGAAAAGACAAAAAAAAAAACACGACAAAAAAGAGGGAAGGAGACAAAACGACAAAAAAAAGGCAACCAAAAAATTTGCAAAAAAAATCGGAAAAAAAACCGAAAAACAGGAAACAAACAAAAGTAACATAAAAAGGAAGAAGAAAAGGTGACGTAAAAAGGAACAAGAAAAGGCGACGCAACAAGGAACAAGAAAAGACGACAAAAAAATGACAAAAAAGCAAAGAAAAAAGCGAAAGGCAGGAAGCAAAAAAGATGACAAAAAGAGGACAAAAAAACACAACGAAAAAGGTCATCAAAAATCCAATATCAAAACAAAGAGAAAAAACAATATAAGAGACGACAAAAAATACGATTAAACACGGGTTAAAAACGCGACAAAAACAATGTGGAAAACCAAAAAGGGGTACAAAAAAACGATTAAAAGATGCAAAAAATACGAACAAGCAAAACGACAAAAAAATGAAAGAGGCGTCAGAAAAACGACGATTAAAAAAGCGACAAATACACAAAAAAGGACAGCACAAAGAGGGACCAAAAACCATGAGAAAAAATCAAAGAAAAAGGGGGGAGGGGCAAAAAGATGACTAAAAAATGAGCAAAAAGGACAAAGAAAGGCGACAAAAAATACGATAAAATGAATCGAAAAAAAAACAACAAAACCAAGGGATAAAAGAGACGGCAGAAAGCGTCGAAAAAAGACAATAAAAAAGAGCTAAAAACGCAACAAAAAAAGACTATAAAAAATGGCTAAAAACGCAACAAAAAAAAGACGAGAAAAAAAGAGCAAGCGGGAGGGGGGCAAAAAAAGATTAAAAAAACGCAAAAAATAAGACAAAAAAAAGCAGCGAAAAACCGACTAACTAAAACGATAAAAAAAAAGACGAAAAAAGAGGGACCAAACAAGCAGCAAAAACGGGGACAATAAACAGAAAAGGTGACAAAGAAGAACAAAAAACACAAAAAAGCGAAAAACACCGACTTAAAGAGACAAAAAGAGGCAAAGCGATACAAAAAGAGAATAAAAGCAATAAAAAAGTAAAAAAGACAATAAAAGCGTTAAAAAAATAAAAAATGACAAAAAAGCGATAGCAAAAGACGAGAGCGGAAAGTGGACAAAAAAAAGACGATTAAAAAAGGGGCAAAAACTCCGACTAAACGAAACAACAATAAGAACGAGAACAAAACGACGCAAAAAATGATTAAACAAGCATCAAAACGGGACAGAAAAGATAAAAAAGACGAAAAAAAAAAACGAGGACGGAGGAGAAGGCGACAAAACGACTAAAAAAAAGCAACCAAAAAAAGTAGCAAAAATGGGACGGAAAAAAACGAAAAAAAACCGAAGGACTCGATTACAATACTTCCTTTGCTTACGCTCGGGAAGTAAAAACAACGAAAAAGGTGACAAAGGGGATGGGGCAAAGACAAAAAAACAAAACAAGCCCAACTAAACAAAACGACAAAAAAAGACGAAAAAAGGCGTCAGAAAAACGACGATAAAAAAGAGCCAAAAAATAAATCAAAAAGGGATCAAAAAGCATCCGAAAAAATCAAAGACAAAAAAAAGCAAGGGTGGGAGAAAGACGACAAAAAGAAGATTAAAAAACGGGGCAGAAAGGATTAAAAAAGCCACAAAAAAAAAACACGATAAAGAGACGACAAAAACAAGGAATAAATAAGACAACAGAAAAGCATCGAAAAAAGACAATAAAAAAGGCGAGAAAAAAGAGCAACCCTGAGGGGGGCAAAGCAAGATTAAAAAATAGCAAGAAATAAGACAAAAAAAGCGAAAAACCGGCAAACAAAACGACAAAAGTCGAAAAAAGAGCGACCAAACAAGCAGCAAAAACGGAAAAAATAAACAGAAAAGGTGACCAAAAAGAACAAAAAAGGTAGTAAAAAAAGGGGCAAAAAACCTGACTAAACGAAACGACAATAAAACGCCGAAAAAAGTGATTAAACAAGTAGTAAAATGGAGTAGAAGAGACAAAAAAAAAAGGAAAGAGGGAAAGGCGACAAAACGACAAAAAAGTAGCAAAATAGGACGAAAAAAAAACGAAAAAGAGGGAACAAACAAAAGGGAACACAAAAAGGAAGAAGAAAAGGCGACCCAAAAAGGGACAAGAAAATGCGACAAAAATGAGAAAAAAGCAAAAGGCGGGGAGCAAAAAAGGTGAGAAAAAGAAGACAAAAAAACCAACGAAAAATATCAAAACAAAGCGAAAAAACAACATAATAATAAAAGAGACGGCAAAAAATACGATTAAACACGGGTTAAAAACGCGACAGAAAAAATGCGGAAAACCACATAAGGGGACAAAAAAGATTAAAAAAGGCAAAAAATACGACTAAAAAGCGCAAACACGAACAAACAACGACAAAAAAAAAAGAAAAAGAGGCGTTAGAATAACGACGATTAAAAAAGCGACAAATAAACAAAAAAGGACAACAAAAAGATGCCAGAACCATGAGAAAAAATCAAAGACAAAAAGCGAGGGGGGGGGGGGCAAAAAGAATACTAAAAAAGGGAGCAAAAGGGACAAAGAAAGGCGACAAAAACACGATAAAATGAAGCGGAAAAAAACAACAAAACCAAGGGATACAAGAGACGGCAGAAAACGTCGAAAAAAGGCGATAAAAAAGGCTAAAAAAGCAACAAAAAAGGTGAGAAAAAAGAGCAAGCGAGACGGGGGCAAAGAAAAACAAAAATAAGACAAAAAGAGGCGAAAAAAGAGCGAAGAAAATAAACAGAAAAGGTGACAAAAAAGAACAAAAAGAACAGTAAAAAAAAGACTAGAAAGGCAAATAAACGCGACAAAATAGTCAAACACAAAAAAGCGAAAAACACCGACTAAAAGAAACAAAAACGTGACAAAAGGAGGCAAAGCGATACAAAAAGAGAATAAAAGCAATAAAAAAGTACAAAAGACAATAAAAGCGTTAAAAAAATAAAAAACGACTAGAAAAAAGCAAACAAAAAAGAGAGCGGAAAGTGAACAAAAAAAGACGACTAAAAAAGGGGACAAAAACTCCGACTAGACGAAACAACAAAAAGAATGAGAACAAAACGACGAAAAAAATTATTAAACAAGCATCAAAACGGGACAGAAAAGGCAAAAAAGACTAAAAAAAAAGACGAGAAGAAACGATGAACGAGGGGAAGGCGACAAAACGACTAAAAAGGCAACCAAAAAAGTAGCAAAAATGGGATCGAGAAAATAAAAAAAACGGAAACGAGGGAATAAACAAAACGTAACACAAAAAGGAAGAAGAAAAGGCGATGCAAAAATGAACAAGGGAAGGTGACAAAAAAATGAGAAAGGGTTAAGAAAAAAGTGACAGGCGGGGAGCTGAAAAGGTGACAAAATAAGAGGAGCAAAAAAGAAGGGAAAAAACAACAAAAAAGGTCACAACGAAATCCGATATCAAAACAAAGCCAACAAAACGACAAAATAACAAAAGAGAGTTAAAAACGCGACAAAAAAAGACGAGGAAAATAGCAACCAAAAAACAATTAAAACACGGATAAAAAATACGACAAAAAAAAAAGAAAAATACGAACAAACAAAACGACAAAAAAATTAAAAAGAGGTGTCAGAAAAACGACGATTAAAAAAGCGACAAATACACAAAAAAGGACAGCACAAAGGGGCCAAAAACCATGAGAAAAAATCAAAGACAAAAAGCGAGGGGGGGCAAAAAGAAGACTGAAAAAGGGAGCAAAAAGGACAAAGTAAGGCGACAAAAAACATGATAAACTGAAGCGACAAAAACAACAAAACCAAGGCATAAAAGAGACGGCAGAAAGCGTCGAAAAAAAGACGATAAAAATTGCTAAAAACACAACAAAAAAGGCGAAAAAAAAGAGCGACCAAACAAGCAACAAAAACGGAGAAAATAAACAGAAAAGGTGTCAAAAAACAACAAAAAGAACAGTAAAAAATAAACGCGACAAAATAGACAAAAAACACAAAAAAGCGAAAAACACCGACTAAAAGAAACAAAAAAGTGACAAAAGGAGGCAAAGCGATACAAAAGGAGAATAAAAGCGTCAAAAAAATTAAAAATGACAAAAACGCGATAATAAAAGACTAGAAAAAAGCAAACAAAAAAGAGAGCGGAAAGTGAACAAAAAAAAACGATTCAAAAAGGGGACAAAAACTTTAAACGAAACAACAAAAAGAATGAGAACAAAACGGCGAAAAGAATGATGAAACAAGCATCAAAACGGGGTAGAAAAGACAAAAAAGAAGACAAAAAAAGACCAAAAAAAAAAAGAGGAAGGAGGGGAAGGCGACAAAACGACTAAAAAAAAGGGCAACCAAAAAAGTAGCAAAAATGGGACGGAAAAAACAAAAAAACGAGGCAACAAACAAAAAGGAAGAAGAAAAGGCGATGCAAAACAAGAGAAGGCGACAAAAAAAAAAAAGAAAAAAACAACGAAAAAGGGGGGTTAAAAACGTGACAAAAAAAAACAGGAAAATAGCAACCAAAAAGGGGGCACAAAACAATTAAAACACGGCTAAAAAATACGACAAAAAAACAACGAAAAAACACGAGCAATCAAAACGACAAACGACAGATCAAACAAGGAGCAAAAACGGAAAAAATAAGCAGAAAATGTGACAAAAAAAAGGCAACAAAAAAGACGCAAGAAAAACGAGCAAGGATGGGGACAGAAACAAAAAAAAAAGGCGATAAAAGGGGCAAAAAACACAACACTGACTAAACAAAGCGACAAAAAAACAACAGTCAAAAAACAAAAAAAAAACAATAAAAGGGTTAAAAAAGCGTCACAAAAGACGATAAAGAATGAACAGAGGAAAACGACTAAAAAAACGCTAAAACCTACAACAAAAAAAATGCGAAAAAAGCGATTACGCAAGAAGCAAAAGCGAGACAAAAAAGACAAAAAAACAACAACAAAAGACCAAGAAAAACGGGGAAGGAGGGACGGCGGCGGCAAAATGACTAAACAAGGTTTGGAAAACGAGCAAAATCACTACCAAAAAAAGTAACAAAAAAAAGCGAAAAAAAAGCGACTAAAAAAGTTATTAAAAAAAAGGGGCGACAAAAAAGGACGATTACAAAAAGGGACAAAAATAAAAAGAAAAAAAAAAGCGAAAAATCTCGAGTAAACAAAGCGACAAAAAATAAAGACAGCAAAAACGGGGCAAAAAAGACAAAAAGGCGAAAAACAAAGGGGGAAAAAGGCTACAAAATGCAAAAAGGGCGGAAAGAGATTATTAAAATAAAAATAGGCTACGAAAAAACGCGACTAAAAATATGAATACACTAATAAATCATAAACGTAGACCCATAGCATTTTGTGTATTTATCTAGCAAAATTTCGAGGTGACGTCATTAAATTTTTGGAGCGTATAAACAAAATTATTTTCAATCGCCATTTACTATTTTGACGATTAGTCGACATTATATAAATTCCAATGATACAGAGTGAGACAAAATCGCGCAGGCGAAGTTAGATTTTCGTCATCAATTGTTGATGGGAATGACTATACATAAAATTTCGATAAAAATGTCTTTTCTACTGCGGTTTTTATTCACACTTTTTCGACCTTTTTAGATTTCGTCAGTATAGCATATTTCAATGATTGTTTGGCATTCTAAAGTATTTAGCATAATCAGTCCAGTAGTTTCAAAAATTATCCATCTAATAAAATCGCCCACAAACGCTAGGCGCCAGACAGACGGAAAAGTGGGCCTACTTTTTCATATTCGAGAAATTACCTTAATTAAATATAACTTAACATTTTCAAAAATTACAACATCCTGCTGTGAAAACTATCTTTAGTTACGTCAATAATATATCTGTACTACTTTTTTAAAGTCGACTTCAGACACCATTTTTGTACATTTTCCAACTTATCATTAAATCCACCATACTACAATATCGTACAAACCTGCTTCATCCTCGTCATATTATTATGCCTAATCGGAATCTTCATCCCCAAAGTCGCACACACCAAATCGCAAATGGCGCTCAGCTGATTACTGTGAAAATGAATCGCCATCAACAGCAACATCTCCCCGAAACTGGCCGTCACGCCACTGGCCGACTCGAAATACGCCTCCTCCCGCACCAGCCACTGGACCCACTCGATGCTCCGCCTCTCGTGCTCCTGGAGCGAAATAAGCGAGGGGCAGGCGATGAGCATGCACAGACCAATCGAGACGAAGCGCACGCCCGCGGGGGTGGGGCTAGGGTGCGAGGTGAGGAGCTTGACGATGAGATTGACCTCCTCCTCCTGGAACTTGATAGCGGCGATGCCGCGCAGCGCGCAGTAGAGGCGGAGCAAGGCGGAGGCCTGCACCACCTGGCTGTCGAGCAGCTGCCCCTCGGCGGAGGAGTTGATTATGATCTGGAGGCGGCGCAGCAGCTCGTCGCGGAGCTGCTGCAGGGCGTTGCTCGAGATTTCGCCCTTTTTCTTCTGGCCGGTGCGGATGAAGAGGGCGATCCAGTTTCTACACACACATTATTATGTTTTAATTTTAATAATAAGTGAGTTTACCTAATTGTTTGGTCATTTCCCAACAACAAGCCTGAAATGAAGGCCACCATGTCGCCGTCTTCCCCACTGCCACTCTGGTTGTGTTCCAACGACAATGTAATTGCTAAGGCTGGCATTCGGCACAATTCCACACATTTGCTTCTAATACTTAAAGCTTGAGATGGATTCATTTTGCATAACAACGAAATTGCCGAAGCCCTAACTGTGCTCAATTTAGTTTCTTCCTGCTTTTCTCCAGTTTGTATCAAATAGGTACACACTTCTCGAAAACAATCAGGAAAATTAGCCACGATTCTACACACTATGGCTGGCCCATTATGTAAATGGAGCAACGTTTCAGTGATTGTTAAAATGTTAAGTGTGATTGGCAGCTCTGCAAGCGCTATGCAGATAATGTCGGACAATTCTTCAGCAAATATATCATTATCAAACAACTCTGACGGTTTTATATAAGATGAAGTTTCTGGATTTTCGTTGTCTTGAATCTGTGACTGGACATACAATAATTCCCCTAGTAGAATGCTCAAACGTCTAGTCATGTCACTACGTTCATACTCCAACGCCATACTCGTGTTTGATAAATTCCCGATTAAAATTGAGTCATTCTGAAGCGCTACTCCCTTCTGTCTTAACTGTTGCTCCTTTTTAACTTCAGTTTCAAGTCGGTGAAAATCAATTGATAAGAGAGCCACTATCGAGTTGACCAACTCCATCCCAGAAACAATTGTCAAAATGTCGACTTTCATGGTCATACATTTTTTTGAAGTGTCTAAGGGTGAAATGAGCCCCATTCGAACAAGACATGGTAAAACAGGCCGAATTTCCTGTTCCGTGCACTCGCCCAGTTGTTGCATGTCCACATTTTGTATGGCGCGGAAAACTTTAGGGTCTACGCCCTTTTTGAACGACATGGTGGGGCCCTAATTGAGGTTATGTCTCTATGGTTGTACAAACTTTGAATAAAGCATTGGTACAAATTATTAATTAGTGCACTTGCAATACAACGAAAAGTAGATTGTACACTAACTCGGAACTAGTTTTAGTTGTTTAAAGTTGATACGACAAAAGGGTTATGTTTGTGTTGACATAGAACGGTAACTGCATTACCGGCCGAACTGTCACCAGTCGCGAGTATTACTGAATTTGTACCTTGTTTTGTACTAAATCCACCACGAAATAGTAATAAAAATTGTATTTCTTCCCATTTCGTACTATTGTGCAACTTGAATTTGAAAAATTTGCAAATAGGTTAGGTTCACGCTGGTGATGCTACCTGTATTACCGGCTTTAACTGTCACTCAACTGAACATGTATGGACTTGCACCAAAATGTATATTTATTAATTAAACGATTATTTTTAACTCGTGACGTTTCAGCTATTTTCACGTCGATTTATATTCAAATTACCCGTTACTTTCGTTTCATAAAAACACCAATAAACACATTTACCGGCTTCCGCCACCTCATGCGCATTTTCGAAAAAGTGCAATTATTTTCACCCAACATTGTGCAATTTTGAAACACATTAGACAACCTTACCCAAAAACACTAATGCTATTATAAATGAAACCGCTTCGTCCCCAATAAAATTTATTAGAAAAGATGATTACACTATATTATTTAATGTTGCTTCCTTCTGAAGCTGCACCCTTCGGTCAACCGAGCTTTCCCTCCGGTTGATGTGCACAGTATGGTCGAGCATCCTTTGCAGGGTACAGCTGACTGGGCATGGGAGAAAATTGTCGATATAGCGTAACAACCGGGGCACTTCACATCCATAAAGTAACTGTTCGGGTGTTGGACCAATCTTTTGAGTTTGTGGGACCTCTTCTGCTTTTCAGCAGAAGGGTGCAATAAGTCGACCGCCAAAGGCATCTGTAAACATAAACAAGTGGTATTAGAATCGGCGAATTATGGTTGGGGGGGTTGTATGTTGGGTTTGGGGGCGGTGTGGGGCTATTACGTACTTTTTTAACAGCTTCTAACACTCTAAAAGGTTGATTTTAGTCGAACACGCACGTGGTGCTTTCGGTGATCAACCATGTAAAGGAAAGTGACAGTTGACAGGTGATACCACTACAAAGATGGAGGTGCCAACGCAACGGCACGAAAGTACTGGGTTTGCGAGGTTTGTTAAAATTTCGAGTGGTTTTAAAAAGTAAGAATCTAGGAATATTGGACTACAAACAAAGTGTGGTTGTTGTAAAATATTATTAACTTCAAGGCAGAAATAAATTAAATATATTTATTCAAATAGAGAATGCAACATACAATACACCAGAACGATTGATTTTCGTATTTAATTAAAAGTTTTGTTATTTATTCTCAAAATTTTCATGAAACAACAATTATTAACTCTTTTTCATTTGCATATACACAGTTCCGCACTTTCTTACTCGTGTGTTTTTAGGTGTTTAACTACAGACGTTTTATGTTTAGTGGCGAAAGGACACTTGTTACATTTGTACCATTTAGTGTCTTTCTCACTCATGTGTCGAGCAATTACGTGACTTTTTAGACTGACTGTATGTTTAGCTTTATATGGACACTGTGTGCAATGAAACCACTTAATATCCCCTCCACTCAAGTGACGTGCGTTCACGTGACTTGTTAAACTACACTTATACTTAGTTCTGAATGAACAATCTGTACATTCGTACCATTTAATGCAGTTTTCGTCCAAATGCATATACTTCACGTGGTTTTTTAAGTTAGAATATGTTGTACTTTTGTATGGACATTCCCTGCATTCATAGAACTTATTCTGTTCTTTTAAAGAGTGCGTTTTTAAATGGTATTTCAGGGGTATTTTTTCAGTGGTTTTGAATGGACATTTTGAACACTTGTACCATTTTATTGTTTGGTTAATCAAATGCCGCTCTTCCACGTGACTTTTTAAACCAGAATTTGTTTGACTTTTGAAAGGACACTCATTGCATTTATACCACTTATTTCGTTCCACTAGAAGATGTGAACTTATGTGGTACATCAGTCGATAGTTACACTTAGTTCTGTATGAGCACTCTTTACACTCATGCCATTTAGGTCCACTTTCGTCCGAATGCCGCGTGTTTAAGTGGATTTTTAAATGCGAATTTTGTTTGGTTTTGAAGGGACACTGTGCACAGTTGAACCACTTAATGTCATCTGTCACTCGTTTATTGTTACTTTTGGCCACAGAGTTAACCACTCCACAAGCTTTCTTCTTTTTTGTACACGTTGTTGCATGTTGAAGCCACTTAATCCCAAAGTGCGTTAAAAACTTGCATTTTTTGCAGCGGTTTGACCGAATAATGCGGTTTTTATGCAATAAATCAGTCCGATTTTTCCGGTTTGGGTTATGATGTTGTTGGAGGTGTTGTTTGAAAAGCAGCGTTAGCTCTGTCTCAAAATCGCAGTCTTTGCAGTAAAATATTTCAAGCCTGGGGTTCTGACATTGAAAACGTTGATGTGTGGAATGGCGTTTGATGTGGTTGACCAGGAGAAAAAATGACGTTGTGAAGTATGGGCAAAGTTGACAATGAAGGGCGGTTTTCATGGGGTGCCTGCTTTGGTTGGCTAATGTCTCCGAAAATTCCAGAACCGACATTTTGGTAGTCACCTAAATTCAATTCAAAACTAGTTTTTAAAAGAGGCAAAGTGATACTTGATTTTTCTTACCTATAGTTTTTTGGAAAAGTGTGTAGAATGTGTAAACTTGGAATTATTTTAATATGTGTGTCAAAATATAACCTCAAAAATTGTAAATGGTGCTTCATTGGGTGATCCGGTGATCGGAATTGATTGTAGTCAAGTCATCTGTGGAAATATAGACGTATGTCCGTACCTTAAATGCTATGGATAATACATTAATACACATCAAAAAATCTACTTATATATATATCTACTGTATACAAGTATATAAACATGTTTATTTTTTATTTTAGTGATAAACTGTAACTTTGGTCTTTAAGCGACTATACCATGGAATAAAAACTACAGGGTGCCGCATCCAAGTCTGGATATAGGAAATTAACATGGGAATTGGTTTTTATTTTATAATATCTCCCCAGATCACTTTAAAGCTATTATTGAGTGATGCCTTTATGGAGGTCGAAGAGGGCTATCGGCCAGTATTTTTTTCCAATCGTTGCATCGCGCTCATTCACTGTAAAAAGGTTTTAAAAATCGTATTTTGAAATTCGCGCCCGATCCGAATTGTCGCGAAATGTTCCGTCGCACTGTCGAAGTTCGACGATCGCGTCTTTCGATTAATCATGCTTAAGTCATTACTTTTTAAAAATTGGGTTTATTCATTTATTATAGTAGGTAGCATAAACAGAAAAAACTAGTAGTTTCATTTATTTTATTAAATGTTAAAAAAAACGGTAACTCTAAACATAAAAGTAAAGCATTTCTGTTGGATCATAACAAAATATCACCAAATAAAACAACTTCTTAAAAAATATTTACCCTATAACCTGGGTCGAGATTTGTGTATATATTGTAGATGATGTTGAAGTAAAAAAAAAATGTGCTAAATTCTAGCTACCCATAAATACAGATGATAACACTTTTAATTTTTTGTTCACAACTTTCAAATGAAGCATATTAGAAAAAACTTTTGAAATGCAAAATTTAACACGTAAGAATTTTTTTTGCACAATAAAGGAGTGGATAACCCCACTTGATAAATTTTCAGAGGTAATTTTTCCCTTTAAAAGTGTTCATGGGCACCTAGAATTTTGCACAGTTTCTTGCTTTAGTATTCTCTACGATATATACTTGTACAAATCTCGACCCAGGTTGAGGTTACATTATCACAAATTTTAATCACATCACTTAAAAAAAAACTAGAATTAAATCAAATATTTTTTCAATAATTTTTTTTCAAAAACTAAACTGCCTCTTCTGAGTACCTGAGGTGGAGGTAGTTTCATTATATATTCATTTTCTTGGATCTTCCCCTGATCTTTAATGTCCGGAAACATAAAAGCATCCGGAATTTTTGGATTTCTTTTCAAAAAATCACAAAAAATAGGGTTAAGTGATAACACTTTACCAATGTAATATTTTTTGTTTTGTTTTTGAGTTGTTAATTGTACTATAATATAATCGTCTATATTTAAGTCTGGTTTAGAACGATCAGTCTTACTATTTTCAGCCTTGAAATTCAAACGAGGATTCAAATCATCAGAATAATTGGAAGAATTCAAACTTTCGGTGTCCGTGCTGTCATCATATTCGATACTACTTGGGTTGTCTAAATCAGATGAGTCACTTGATATATTATAGCGTCTTTTTTGTTTTCCAATTTGGACTGGTTTTTGAATTTGAGATGCATCTTTATGTTGAAGGCAGGTATCTGTTTCTGAGTTAACTCTACTACTATTACATTTCTTATTTTGAATAAATATTTTGAGACGATCCACACTGACGCGATCCTTTTCATTGTCTAACAGCCAGCAAAGTGAAGACTTTTTTATAACTTTTGTTGTATTACCTAAGCGTATTCTGACTAGATCACCTTTCTCAACAAAAATATCGTCACTATCAAAACTTCTAAGGTGTATGTCTCTGTCAAATTTCTTAGATTCGTACGAAATTGTGCAAAGATCATTCAGTAAATCTTCATCTTGGTCAACTGGATCGTTTTCCAAACTTTGAAAACAGTTACATTTCATGGCTATTTGAGAATTGTAATTTTCAATGTGATCGCACTGTTCTTCACTAAACATTTCATATTCAACTTCGTCATTGCATTCATTGTCTTTACACGGAGCCAAAAATACATAGTTGAAATCTATCACTTTCATTCCTAAATCTTCAGTGTCACGCAGACAATCCCGTAAAGCTGATTCTACGGTGCTTTGTATATCTTTATCTGAAACGTTTCCTAAGTCATCATTTTTCACAAAATCTCTCTTCATGATTGAACTTTTTTTCCTGATTTCTCTAGGAAAAACGAATTTTTTATCCAAATCGTTTTTAATGTTGTTTATAGTTTGCAGTCTGTCACTTCGATGCAACATATCTCTTATATTAAAATTAACAATTGTGCTAAAAGTTGAGGTCATTGATCTAAAGGTAAGTGTCCACTTGCGAGAAATCGCCTCAAAATCAGCCCTGGAGAGCTCCGAGTCCAGTCGAGTAAAGACGAAACACTGATCGGCTGATCTCGCCGCGAACGATATTCTCTCCAGTGGACAAGCCAAACTGCGTTTACTTGCGAGAGATACTGTCCGTGTGAAGAAGCTTCGAATTGGGGAAGTATTCCCCGAGAGTAAGCAGTTCATCATAAATTATTTCTCGAGTAAAGCCGACTTATTTTACACGTTTATGATTCTATGCAAACAGTCGTGAAAAGGACTACGCAATTCGGCCAAATCTGATCGTTTACCTGACTTCAACATTTATACAGCGTTTTGAGATAGGTAACACATTTTTATGAAATTATTAAATACTAAAAAAAATGTAAAACGAAAATAAATGACTAAATTATGCTCATTTGTCGTAAATCTGAAGCAAGTAATGTGAAAAGTAGACTAGATTAACTTTTTTAATTTATAATTAAACATCATAGTTTGTATAAGTGATTCTGATTATACTTCATTATTATTATTATTATTTTGTTGTAGTACGAGATTAAACTATGCACAACGAAGTAAATTCATTTTTTATTATTCAAATAACGTTTTTAAATGAATTTTTAATAATAATTTACATATTAGGTACTACAAATGTATTGTTAAGTAGCATGAGTATTCAAAAATTAATATTTATATTTATTTTCGGTGTTTATCCACAAGTGCTTTTATAAATTGATACCTGCCTCACCTGAAAATATAATTATTAGGGACAATAATTTTATAGATGTTTTTACACACTACAACATTGCATGTAATTGTCCTTTGATGAATCATAACCTGCCGGGATGATAATCTTCAGGTGCCGGTCGTATTAAGCGCTCTTACCAATCTAACCCGGGAGACAATTTACCTATACCCTTTTTGCTACCTGTTTTCCCAGCATTTACATTTCAGTTGAATTTCTTGAAAGAGGATTAACAAAAAGCTCATAAAATCATAAATTATTTGTCGGTCGAGTACAAATCGCTCGTTTCTCTCGCTAGTGTACCCGAGCAGTGGACAGGGTAGCAAATTTGCTAGAACTTGGGCTCTAGTTGGAAACCAAAGCTGTGCCTCTCTGGAGGTACTTTCACAATACGAACACGTTTCGAATTCCTACAGTTCTGTCCGCGAGTGGTGAGCTTTGCCATGGCCAAATTTGGATGGTCAAAAGACCAAACTGCAGAACTAATTGCACGATATGGAAAAAAAGGACTATAGAAATCGCGTAGCATACACTAAAATTATTTTCAACTATACAGAGTGTTCTGTTTTTGAGGCGTAATATTCAACGTACTTTTTTAAATAGAATGCCTAATTCTAATTTTCTAAAAAATTTTTGTAATGAAGCGGTTCACAAAAAAATCGCAATCGTATTAATTTTAAGATCTGTGTTATAATATTTTATGGGGAGATAAACAAAAGTACGTGATTTGCTATGGTATCAATTAAATTAATTTCTAATATGCTGAGTGTTTATAAAAACAAAACTAAAATATTAACAATTTTCAAACATCGTTATTTCCGTCAGCCCATTCTCTACTTTTACGTTTTCTCGACCTTTCATGACCCCTAGAGTACGAAAAAATAAGTCTATAGTTTCCGTCTGTCTGTCTGTCCGTCTGTCTGCCGTCCCGATTTTTATTAGACAGATAATCTCCAAAAGTACTGGGTCGATTCCAGATTTTTGGAAAAGAAAACATAAAAGAACATTTTACAATTTAATTTTGATTCTTACAGCTGTTTTAAAGTTTGATAAGCATAATAAACTTTTAATCAAAATATATTTGCTTATCCCCTCCAAAAAATTGATAACGTCAGTTCAAAATTTTGCCGAATAATTTCCACCCGAAATGTGCAAAATATATATGATCAGTATAATACTTGTAATTTATTATTGTGTTCATATTTTTTAGATTTGCTTATACAGGGCGACTCAAAAAAAAAAATGAATGCGTGATTTTAGTTTCCTGAATAACACAAGAATTGCAAAACTGAATAGGTACTTTGAAATCTTCCAGACGTTTTAAGGTTATTGTAAGCGTGGTAAATTGTTAATCAAAACATATATGTTTATTCCCAACAAAAACTTGATGACGTCATCTCAAAGTTTTTCAGAATAAATTCTACCCAAAGTGTGCAAAATATGTTGAGTTTTTAATTGTGATTTATCACTGCATTCATATTCATCTACTGTTATTTTTAGTATTATACTGCACCAATCCAAGTTGATATACGTGACCTTGCAAAAATGTTGATGACGTCATCACAAAATTGTGTAAAGAAAAAACTCAACTCGAAAATGTTAGATATGTTTCATAGTTCTTTCGGTGCGAGGGAAGTTCTGTCGAAACAACTTTCGACCAATTTTTTACATTTTTAAGAGATATGTGGAAAGAAGATTTTACATAATATTAAATAAGAGTAATAATTGCAATGTTGATTTGATCAAAATCAACTCTACATTAAAATTATATGACATTATAATAGAGGGTGGGATCATATGAATGTGACAACCTGTGACACAGAAAAGAAAGGTCCAAAAACCCCAAAATGTACGTGACATAACCTATGAAGAACACCTTATTTTGTTCAATGATTTACATAATACTTTTATTACTTTTACATATGTACCTGATACAAAAAAATCGTAATGTTACTATTACTCTTTCATGAATAGAAATAGCATCGTGCATTTGCGTATTTCTTAGCACAATTTTAGGTCCAGATAATAATTTATGTCCTCTTACTACCTGTTTTCACAGCTGCAATATTTTACCGTATTTCGTGAAAAATAAATTAACAAAAGGCTCGTAAAATCATAAATTCTTTGTCGGTTCGAG